GGAAGGAAATGGTGGTAGCACAAGAGCATCATGTAGAATGCCCACATTAGTGGCTGACAAGAGCAATGAGAAACAAAGAAAATGTGAATGAGTAAGTATGATAATATAGGTCATTGAAACAAAAACTGGGAGAGTTTCAAGTAGATGGAGTAAGCAGTTAAAATTTTAAACTGTCTTAGAGAATAATATAAGAAGGAATGTAAGGCCATTATGTTAGAAGGCTAATGCATCAGGAAAAACTGCAGATATAGAGAAAGAGAAGTAAAAACAATGAGATTTACAATTGAGTAGATCTTTTGTGATTAATACAAATCTTAATACATTCATAGAGACTGGATTTTTCTTTCCCTCACTTATTTTAATAAACCATCACACAATATGCTAAAATACTATACCACTGTACTATCTCATATTATCCTTGGATAAATGGCTAATTTACTAAAAATGTAACTACATGACTTTAAATATGGTCTTAGTATTATCCCTAAGGTAGACTAAAATTTCCTGCAAATAGGGTTATTTAGCAAAGTTTTACTCTGTTATGAAAACAAGTGTATTTCTACTTCAAATTGCCTGTAGTTGAGTTGTTTGCATTTTCTGATTTTTTTTTGTTTGCCATGGACAATGAATGTCTCCCTGTAAATCACCACAAAAGCATTAGATCAAAAACAGACCTGAGAAGTAAACTCTCTTACACATGCAAACCATGTATTTTCTCAATTTCTGTGTAAATATTCTGGGCTTAAGTAGTGAGATGTTTTTGGGTGTCAGTGAAGTCTGATAACATCAGATCAAAGTTCAGATACTCTGTCTACATAGAGAGATGAACTACCACTAAAAACACTGAACAATGTTACTTTTTCAGAAAATATGTGCCTAAATATAGGATACATATTTAATTTGGCTTTTGATAACTGAATAATTTTAAATGAAATTTGGAACATGGTTGCAAAAATATGTATAGTCATAAAAATTTTCACTGTGGTGTTTGCTAATTTATGGATGTGTTTATTCACTGACATGATAAATTAGTAAAACTGTATCTCCAGCTTATGATTGATATCTAAAAATAAATTTTAATTGATGTCTTTAGAACATTTCTCTGGACAAAATGGACACACATTTATACTACATCTAGCAATATTTTATTAATCTCCTGTAGCACCAATAATTTTGAAACTGGTGACAGGTCACAGAAATATCACATTATAGTAAAGGAAATGCTGTGTTTCATGGAAATTATCAAAAGAACTCATCCCATAGAGGGGAGAAGAGAAGCATTCAGTACTTAGAAAATAAATTATAAACGTGAATCCTTTAGTAGTAAAGTAGCCATTAGTTAAATCATTTTGAGGTTTTAGATCAGATTTGTCTGGCTGTAGATTTTTTTTTTCCACCAGGCTAGACATCATCAGGAGCTAGAACAGGAGTCTCTCAAGGACAGTGGGAATTCTTGTAGAAGAAGAAAATATTTTTGATATTTACCACAAGAATTTACTACAAGTCTTGAATGATGGTAGTGGGTTAAAAATTGTATAGCCGGGCACCAGTGACTCATACCTGTAATCCTAGCTACTCAGGAGGCTAAGATCTGAAGATCAAAGTTCAAAGCCAGCCTGGGCAGAAAAGTCCATGAGACTCTCATTTCCAGTTAGCCATCAGAACACCGGAAGTGTGCTATGGCTCAAGTGGTAGAGCACTCTCTCGCCGTGAGCTGGAGAGTTGAGGAATAGTGCCGAAGCCCAGAGTTCAAGCCCCATGACTGACATTAAAAAAAAAAAGTGAAGTATAGTGGAATTCTTCATTCTTCCTTCTTCAGAATATCATTTCCTCTTCTGAATACCAGTATGGTGAAAATGGTTTCTTTATATAAACTAAATTCCCTATGAATTTACTTTATTACTAAGAACGGTTATAGTTATTATTGTTAATACTATTTTGCCATTGAAAACAATATTTTACCTTTTTATTATTTGCTTCTATCATTTATTTGCTTCCAATATATGATAATTACTTAGATTATTATTCTGCTCTAATTGTAACTACTGAACTTGCATGTGTTCACACTGCTTTGTTGGTATTTCCGAGAAAGAAACTTTGTTCTCACAATTACTTTCTCCATTTTCTTGATTTCATGGGGATTTATTGTAAGGATGGGGAAATATTCAAATAATTCCAGCAGTGTGGATGTCAAACTTTTTAAGGAGTCAGTATTACCCCTCAAAAGCTTGAATTCATGACCTAGCATTTGTTAGAAAGATGTGCTACTCTTTGACTTAAACCTCCAGACCTTTTTCTGCTTTAGGTTTTATTCAGGTAGGGTCTCCTACACTAGCTTAGTCCGCGTCTTCCCTTCTCCACAGCTTAGCATGCTCCCTTCCTAGGCAACACCAGGCCCATGTAGTAAAGGCAGTAAATAATCAACTTCTAGCCCCCTTTACCTTGGGATGGCACTTCTCTGGGGCAGCTACCACCATATAAGGCAACAAGAGCCCCTTAGAGTGACCTTCAGGTCTGGGCAGCTGCAGGACCCTTATCTACTATTTGGACAGCAGCCATAAATCCTAGTCTGCCATGATGAAGCCCCTGGCCCTCATGTCCACACCAGGGTCTCCACCTCCTAGCCCCTTCTAGCCCCTCCTAAACATCCTAGGTTATATAGGTCACCCCAGACAATAGCCAGTGCCTTTTCTCATTCCTCCCTTGTGAGAAGGAGTCTTGCTGGCCCCCTTTCTTGGCAATAAGCCCTTCTTTGTTCTTTGTACTTGGTCATCTGTGTGGTTCTCTGGTAAAGTCTATTAGTCTTAATTTTGCTAACATTAACCTTACACCATTACCTCTTTTGATCTTCTCCATGACTGAGATCACAGGTGTGCCTCACACCTTCAGTATATTGACTAAATTAGGCTTCTCACCAGCTTTTATGCCTAGATTGGTCTTTCTTATTTATGTCTCATGAGTACCAGAAATTGCATTCATAAGGCCTAACTCAAGCCTTTTAAGAACTGTAACATTCCTTAGCATATCAAACAGATAGCTGTGTAAATCAGAACACTTGGAGCACCCATCTAATTTTCGGTGTTGGATCCCTTTGCCTGTATAACAGTTTCTACATGCCATGTTCAGCAGACATTACTATATGAAATCTGGTAGATCAACTATGTGGGCAAAGGAAGAAAATGAAGTTCATGGCGCAAATAGGAAGGCATGATATAATGAAGATGATGTCTACATTACAGAGGAAGACAAATACAAGATACAAGTTTGAACTTTAAGCAACTGAAAATCTGTAATAATAAGGAAAAAAGAAAAATAGCAACCAAATCAAAAGTAAAAATAGGAAACAAGCAGAAATGTTGCTTCTTTATTTGTTGTACAAAACTAAAGATTGAGGAAAGAGAGAAATGAGTAGGCAGGGACTACAGAGAAGTTTGGGGACAGCGACATTACTCATGCATGTGTTATGAGTACATGTACTCATGTACATGTACTAAAATTTACCTCATATTCATAGAGTGAATCACACCAAGGGTGAAGCCTGCCTGCAATTACATATAGACTTGCACCATCCCTAAGATAGAGAGTATGTGGGGTGTAAATTTGGGAGGGGATATTAGGAGTTTGAGCTTAGGCATGCTGCTTTAGGCGAGTGTGAGATATTCAAGAGAATAGATTCAATAGCTTGAATAGTATCAGGATCTGAAGGCTTAAAAACAAAAGTGGACTAGAGATCAAGGTTTTAGAGTCATCAGGTACAAATTAATCATTAATGATAGGGATGAATACATAGTATTTTTGCCCAAGGAACACATGAAGAATAATGAGAAAAGGTCTGGGTGTGACACCAGGTTCCCCTTTCAAGGGGAGGCAGAGAAAGAAGCTCACAGGAGAGACAGATAAGAATATCCAGAAGTGAAAAATCCTCAGGGAACACATGATTTCATTTTAGAGTTCAGTGATGTCATTTCTTTGTGAAGTAGCTATTACAGTATCGCATCTGCTCTACGTCTCTCTCTTCTGTCCTTAGTGTATTAGATGACACAATTTGTATTTCCATTAAGAGATTAAAAAAGAAAGCTTTCATTTACTTTGCCAGTGCATGATAAATGACTGACATATTTGTGTACTGTTCTGTAAATGTATAGATAAGTCTTAACAGAAGTAGAGGTAAAATTTCCACAGGGAAACACATTTATATAATCGTCAGGCTAGAGGCTAGCGGAAAAAGAACATGTTATTTTTGTCAGGTATGACGTTTTTGTCCTAGGAGTCAGTCATAACTAAAGATAATGACAGGGGGCTGGGAAGGTGGCTCAGTGGTAGAGTACTTGCCTTCCATGCCTGAGGCCCTGGGTTCGATTCCTCAGCATCATATAAGCAAAAAGAAAAAAAAGCTGAAAGTGGCACTGTGGCTCAAGTGGTAGAGTGCTAGCCTTGAGCTGAAGAGCTGAGGGACAGCACCCAGGCCCAAAGTTCAGGCCCCATGACCAGACCCCCCCAAAAAAAATAATGACAATTTTAAGTTCATGCTAATGTATACTTTACCCAAATGTTGCTCACCCATTTTTATTCTTACACATAGTTGGGAAATTGATACATGGAATATTCCAAAATACTTCAAAAGAGTTTTACCAGAGGCAGTTTTTAAAGGTTCATCTTGTATTTTTCCCTTGTTTCTCTCCATATTTTGTTTAATTATACTAGGGAAATTCTTTTACTTTTCTATTGTATAAATGTAGGCATGGCAATTCTTGAATTTTACTATAATATATTATATAAATAGTGCATTGGTGTAGAAATATACTGGTTTCACTTAGATATAAATGATCAGTCATTGGAAAAATTTGTATTTAAATTTATGTATATTAAATTTATATTTAAAACATTCTCTATTCTTATTCTTATATATTTAACCATAAACCAGTATTATCTTTATGAGAGGAGAACTGGATGATTATCTTCCACATGTTGAAATATGATTTTTTTTTAATTTCTTGTAGGTTTTATTGGGATTTAATAATGCTTATAATGATGGTTGGAAATCTCGTCATCATACCAGTTGGGATCACATTCTTTACAGAGCAAACAACCACACCATGGATTATTTTTAATGTGGCATCAGATACCGTTTTCCTATTGGACCTCATTATGAATTTTAGGACTGGAACTGTCAATGAAGACAGTTCTGAAATCATCCTGGACCCTAAAGTGATCAAGATGAATTATTTAAAAAGCTGGTTTGTGGTGGACTTCATCTCATCAATTCCAGTGGATTATATCTTTCTTATTGTAGAAAAAGGAATGGATTCGGAAGTTTACAAGACAGCCAGAGCCCTTCGCATTGTGAGATTTACAAAAATTCTCAGTCTGTTGCGTTTATTACGACTTTCAAGATTAATTAGATACATACATCAGTGGGAGGAGGTAAGTTACACTTTTTCTTTTATAAAGCCACAGTATTATGAGATTTTCATTATGTTTGTTTGGATATGACTATTGGATATGCTTCTATTGTAATAAGTTATGTGAAATTTGAGGAGAGAAAAAGGTTTTTCAGCACTCTTTCTGGTGCATAAGTAATTTTATTTGTTTCTCTGAAGGATAATAAAATACAGATTTTTTAAAACTCAACTTAAAAACAGTGGATATGAAATAATGCTATGATGCCAATTTAGTGTATTTAGAACAAATTGAATTTAATTAACAAATAATTATCCCACTCAATGCAATCCTTGTACTTTGGGGATTTTTTTTATTGGTACAGCTATATGAAGTACCATATTTAGCAAAGATGTAGGGTGTGCTTGATAGTCTAGTGTATAATTAGCTTCAAAAAGATAGCATGAATTACTTAAACATAATTAAAAAATAAAAAATAGTGTGATATTTGTTTCCTGTAATATTTGAAACTTCATTGAATTTCTATTTGAAGGACAAAAAGTTGTTTGCATATGTCTAAGACATATAGACATATAAACACTTAGATTTTAGCATACTAATTTTGCTCATGGCCTTACTCACAGTAATTTATTATAATTCACCCCAACTAGTTCATTTCATAAAATTGGAAAGCAGAATACACAGGAGGGAAGTTGCTACACAGAAAACAAATAGTACACGGACTAAATGGAGTGAATCTGGCCAGACATGCCCTAATGTTGCTGATGAGGGCATCTGCTGCTCAAAGGCAGTAGGTGGAACTGGCAAAAATGCCAACTGGAGATTCCCAAGGACTAAGTGAAATGCACTGTCATCAATAGCAAATGAGTTTATGTCCCTCATCCACAATCTGCAAGCCAACCTTTCTGACTTTGTTTTCTTTTTGTATTTGCCTTTTTGTATGAAATACAACCTGAATTTTATTGTTGTCATAAAAATGGGAGTAAAAGAGGCCCATAGAGTTTCAAAACTAGCCCTAGTGAAAGCAGTACACTGACTGCGCTTTGTTACTTTTCACTTTACAAAAATGCTTGTTAGCATTTTCAGTATGAATTATGCTTTTAAATAAGTCAAAATGGAAGTTTTGTTTGGTTTCTGTATGGCTGTATCAGTGTTTTTGTGTGCTTGTCAATGACAATTTGGTTCACAGGATTTCAGGAAATGACATGCAATAATAAAACACTGCATAATACACTGGCAAAAAGGCATAAAATGGATCACTCTTAAAATATGGGTATGGAATATATTTAAAATCAAATGAAGTACATTTGAGAAATTGGACCCATTTGTATTTTTTCTCTCTTTAGAACACACTATCTAAAATGGTACATATGTTCAATTTTCAGAAGTGATGTGCCCTAATTTGAGATCAATTTAAAACCAAAATGGTTACAGATAAGTCTGATATTTATTGAGAATTTATTATATGTCAAACATTATGACTGATGATTCTTTACATGGATTAGTTCACTGAATCTCCCTAACAACTTCATGAGTTAGATACAGTTGTTATCATTTACTGCTAAGGCTGTTTAAGCATAGTATGGTCCTTGTCCAGATTCAGAAATAATGAGAGGTGGGCTGGGCTTCTAAAAGGCTAACTCCAGAGTTAATAATCTTCACCTGCAAAAAAAAAAACCCTCACTGTAATCTATACCCTTATTAACATCTTGATGTCCCATCACTTTTTATATTAAAAAGTATTAAAATATAGACAACTTTTTGTGACTGTAGCTGTGGTTCATACAACTTAACAGAAGCGATCAGATCCATCTTGAAACAAAACTTCAAAAATATTTTAACGAATAGCCTATGAGAGAAAGGTCACTGATAAAATGACTCGATCAATTAAAAATACAGTAGGCAGTGTGACTATTTTTAATGCCTTTCTGTTTTAACCTAGTTACCCTAGAGAATGGCAGCAGGATGAACAGATGGCATCCTATCAGATGAAGCATGTGGTCAGAGAAGAGGACACTCTTTAACACCAATGTCCTCTGTTCCTGGCAGTGGTCATAGGCACTTAGATTTGTGCAACATGTCGAGCTTGTAAAAATGCCATGATGTAATCCAGGAGCATCAGCTGTCTGGCATCATTGTTGTAAAATGCAATCTAATATGCACTTACAGACATTTGGTAACTAAACACATTCAGGACAGAACTGTGAGTTGGCAAGATCTTTCTTATAAATAAATGACCTTGGTATAAATGATCCATAAATTCATTTAGGTGAGGAATGTTTTCTGATCATATGATATGCCCATCTAATATCAGCTTCTGTCATGGATATTTAATGCCTGATAGTGATACTGCTAAAGAAGAAAAAGATTCGTAATACAGAATTTAATACAGATTCATTATTCCACCTACATGATTCAAACCATAATCACAATGAAACTTGAATGGTTCCCAACCTGGCACATCTCTACCTGCTTTTTAAAATGCCACCAGGATGTGTTTGCAAGTAGAAATACAACAAATTAATCAGAAGAAGTAGCTCTATGAGCTTTTGGAATAAGACTGCAGAGGAAGATGTAAGTTCACCCACATGTCTTTGAGTTCTGAGTGTTTTAGTACCAAGCTGGCTAATGCTAAATTCAGCAAATTTGAGGAAGTAATGTGTGAAGTCTGGAAGCTGCCACTGTTCCAAATGAATCATCCCTGAGGAAAGCGGCCGCCTTCCATAAGAAACTGCTTCCATTGTGGATGGTACATTTTTTTTTCTGGCCTGAATTAGTTCAACTGAAAAACAACAAGAATCTCTGAAGCCAAATAAACTAAAGAAAGGTTATGAATGAAAATAAAATAAGTTTAACACTTAACAGGTACAGAATTATTGACATTAAATGTAAGGGCTCCAATAGAAGGTAACATGGAATGGCTCAATCCTGGGCTTAGGAAATACCATGGTTTTGAGATGTCAGGAGAGAAGTTGTTTGCAGGAGCCAATTATAAGATCAATAGCTTTAGGATGTAAAAATAGAGCTCACTGACACTAGACTGCAACTTTATGTACCTATTACAAGTGAAAGTGAAAAAGTTTGATGTAATTTAGATAAATCAGGACAGCAAATTCCTTTTCCTGAAAATTGAGGTAAGTCTTTTTTACTCATGTTTTGGTTTTAGAAAAAAAGTTGTTTTAATTTAGCGTTGCTGTTATTTTTGCTGTATTTCAAGAAAGACATGATTCTGGCCAGATTCTTCCTAAAAGAGACATATGGAGTGAAAAAAAATCCCTAGAAATCAAATGGAATATTATTAACAATTTGTGACCGTCACAGGCCACTGAAGAGATAAAGTCTAGATTAAGCTTTGAGTACTTAGGAATTTTTCTGTTTGCAAAACTGAAGAGTTCCTGGAAGCTCAAGTGCCCCGGCTGCTAACCTCAGTCATTTTGTCAGAGAGATGACCCTTGACATTTTCAGCGATTTAGAAAAGGTTAATTGAAAAGAAAAATGACACCTTGTGCCTGGTATTTTGGTGCATGCCTATAATCCCTGCTACTTGAGAATTTAAGGCTAGAGGATTGTAATTTCCAGGTCAGCTTGGGCAATATAAATAAAAATTAAGTAAAATAAAACTAAATAAAATGAGAAATGCCACATTATAACTATTGATAAGAATCGATGTCATAGATAAATTTAAAATTTCCATGTGTAATGTAAAAGTATGACGAAGCACATAATCTTATAATAGTTATTGCTTCCTAAGGCATAAATATATTTTATTTTTTAGTTTTTATTTCTTTTTAACCTCCCTTCTGTAGATTTTATGCATATAACAATTAATTAAGTACATTTTGAGATTGGAAAGAGGAGTTGTGATTTTGTACTTATAAGTTAAAAGCAGTTTCAAATAAATACATATTGTGAGCATAGCAATATTTTTCTGGCAATTAATATTAGGATTTTATGTTGGTTGAATGATTGGCATAATCCACAAATTATATTTAGCAACCGAGCATTAAAAAGGAAATTCAGTCCATAGGGAGCTGCCTTTGCTTAATTTTTACCATTAAAATTGGTTTTGAAATTAACCATATGAATTGTCTATTTATAATTATGCAATGTATATTCTAATTATTTTCATCTTTTACAAAACCCATAAACTTCAGAGACTTGCCATAAGCAATTAGCAGTGTCCTAAGCCTGCCCTGGACTTAAATTTATAAAAGCTCCCTATAGAATTTATAAAAACTCCCCATCAAGTCTGCATTTCTTTGTAGTGCATCTGAGGCACTCCAACCCACCGCTTTCAGACTCAACACTGTCACTTCATATTTGCACCAACAAGTCTTACTGTTTGTTTGTTTTCTAGTTTTATCGTGCCTCTTGAAAAGCCTTTCTCTCCCTCCCCCCCTTTTTTTTAGTATTTTGTCTTAGGTATCTACAGATTCAAACTCATTTCTAGAAAATATTGTTGCATAGACTGTAATAATACTTTTTAGCAATAAAATATTATATTGGCTTTGCATACATTTGTTGAGACTGCTTAACTATATGCATTTCCCTTCTTTTTGCTGTACATGCACATATATGTCAAGAGTTACTGTCAATTTTTCCCCGGTATTTCCTAGTATAGGAGTAGAATAAAATGGAAATTCATAGTCTGCCCATCTAGTAGATACATGGCAGTCTTCTATGTGCTAAATTCACTAAATTACTTACAAGGAAGTAATCATTGTTTCCTCCCATGCATTTATTATGTGGTACCTACTAATGGAGGCGCTACATAATGTAAAAAAAAGAAGATGATAGTTTTGTAGGCAAAGCAGATAAGTGAACAAATATATAGTATAGTAAGTAGTTCAATGAAGGAAGTAGTGAATGGCAGTTTGTTTTGCACAAGTAGAGGCCTTCAGAGATATTTGTGTTTAGTCCTGAGGCTGAAATCGGCACTATCACAATGAACAAATGAGCCAGGCAGCGGATTGCATTGTAATAGGATATGAGGTAAAAGCAGCCTAGAAGAGCAAATAATTGGG